GAGCGATACAGTTGGATAGACGCACTTCTAGATTTCTAACAGGGCAAACAGAACTATTAATTTTAAAATGTGTCATATTTGTAAACAGCGCGATTCTGACGCATTTCAGTCCATTGACTTGTTCTGTCTCGAAATATAGGACCATTTAAATTCAAGGTAAAGTTGTCATAGCCGATTGATGTCACGTTGCCTAGAATTTGTTTTCTAGTTTAAATCATGTGATGGTATCGTGCTTTTTTTAAATTAAATTAGAGTTTAGCGGGTCAAGTAGGGTAGAGAAGGCTACTGAGAAGCCCAATAGCACACACAAACTTTCGAAATCGAAGGACTGGGAAAGACTTGCTGACCCATCAATCTTGCTCCCATATTGTGATGGCTTCAGCTTCATGGCTGAACTCTTGCTCCCGCCCCCTGTGACTCTGTGTCATCTACACCGAATCACCCTGCGCCCCCCACTCCGTTCCCAACCCCAAACACACACACGCACACACACACACACACACACACAGACACACTGCAGTTAAGTCATGACCTGAAAGAAACTAGAATCTATGTGTTAAAGTCAACACCAATAAGGGATAAATGCTTGATAAAATTCAAGCAGAATTGAATCTGAAACTTAGCACATGCAACAGTGTGTTTTTATTTTACAAGGTCGATAGTTTCAGGAAGGATGGTAACACCAGTGATGGTGGTGTTGAAATTGTAAGGCAGAAACATCTCTTTAGTAACGACTTGATATCACTCTAGGTCGGCTGGGAACTTAAAATCAATCATTAAATACATCGGAATAAAATGTTACTATTTGAGACCATGTAAGGATCAGATTGTAATGAAAAAAAAACGAGGTCCACTTCGGGGAAGGAAATCTGCCGCCTCTACTCTGTCTGGCCTACATGTGACTCCAGGCTCATATCTATGTGTTTGACTGTTTTAACCGCCTCCTGAAATGGTCTAGCAATCCATACAGCTGCTGTACTACTGGTAGGAACGGGTTGACCCTTCCAGCGACGCTCACATCCCGCGAAGGAACAATGTATACATTTATATAAATAAAGACAGAAATAATTCTGAAGCTCCGGAAAGGTTGAGTTAATAGGAAACAATCGGCGATTTGTTTGATTCCAATATTTGTAAGAAGTCGAGGGCTATTCAGAGTGTGCTCATCAAACTCATGAGGAAAGCAGAAAGTGTTGGAAGATACAGCGTTGTGATGATAATGCACGATTCTTATGGAGTTATGTTTTAATATGTATTCTACTGGAGGCTGGCAGAATTTCCGTAAGCGAATGAATATTCCCCGGGAGCTTCCACGGCCATGGCACATTCTGAAAGAAGCAAGAATGGGGCAATAGAACTCCATAATTTGCCGCTCGCCCACCACTCAATGTAGGCGTCGCTTACAGCGATTCCAAATACCAATTAACCACGTTCAGTGACACAGACAATTTTCGAGTTGTGATATTTTTCTCTCTCTCTCTTAACTAATTTGAGTTTCTGCGGAGCCCATCACTGCCACGGCCTCAAAAGTTTTACAGCAATTGAAACACATTTTAAATTGTAGTCACTGTTGCAATGTAGGAAGTATAACTGCCATAAAGCATGTGTGCGACAGTGAGATGGTGGCCAGGCCATCTGTTGTTTTTTTAGTGAGGTTAGGTGAGAGGTATATATGAGCTTGTATTGACTTGCTTTGAGGGCTCTCTTGCTAAACGCCCGGCGACGTTTACTTTTTGGTCTTGATGGTGATGGTGAGTTGATGGTTTACCAATGACTGGAGGATTTTGGGTTAATCGTTCTTGAATTTTTCACTTTGTGAGGTGACCTCACTGACGATTGCATCATCAGCTTCCTTTACCAGTAAGGATGTAGATGCGGGAAAAGCCAAAGCAGAAACATAAATATTTCGTCTGGCAGACAAAGGAAGGAAGGAGCAGTGAATTTGAAAACCCCATTCAGCTTTTACTTCACGTCACAGTGTGGCGCGGGAGTGAGCACTTTAACTGACCCATCCTTTGAATCCCTCGGCATTTCACCCCCGCCAGACAACACTCAGAATAAAGGGACTGCAGTCTCCTGTTCATTGGGAATGACTTGCAGACGAGGCCATTAAGCAACAGAATTCTGCAATTAAAGTGTGAAATTATATTTCAATCAAACTACTTGATAATGAGGAATAACGTGAAAAAACGGTGTTCTTGGTTGAGACACAAAGGGATCCATTACCCATTGTAATATTTTGTAGTTGTTACGCTCAGTTACTACATGAATAAAAGTTAACGTCATAAATGACCTTTTTTTTAATTCCTCCACCCACCTTGTTGGTTGAGAGAAAAGGGCCCCTGTCACTTATCAACAAAGTGTTTTGCATAAAGTAGATTCGCCCAGTATCGGGTTGGGTTTATCTTCCGAGGTGGGGAATGAAGGATCTTCTCAAATATTGGCTTGCAGAGGCGTCCAATCCGCGGTCTCCCGCTAGATCTTTGTACTCCTAAATTCGGGTGGAACTTTACAGTACAGTACAACAAGAATCAGTTTGATACCCGAACAACCCTATGACCAAGAGTGAGGTATAAGCGTTAAAGATTCTCCAGCAGTTCAATGGACCCAAAACGTTAACTCTGTTTCTCTCTCCACAGATGCTGCTAGACCTGCTGAGTTTCTCGAGCAATTTCTGTTTGTTTTATTATTTAAGATTTCCGGCGTCTCTATTATTTGGCTTATATTGCTATATTAAGCGTTTCAGAACAGCCTTTGCCTTGTTCGAGTGATTGAGAACAATGGAGGATTTTAAATCCCCTTCTGACAGTCTGAGAATCTGACCTGTCGAATTCTAGAGCCTATCAAAAGGCACTTCGCCGAACATCACTTTTTATCTCTGATTTTTGTTTAAAGACGCAAGTTGTGAGAAGCCGCCTTAACTTCAATCAGTTCAAACAGGACTGATGAACCTAATTAAAATGTAAAACGAGTGCAGAAATTGCTGGAAAAGCTCAGCAGGTCTGGCAGCGTCTATAGAGAGAAATCAGAATGACCCTTCCTCACAATATTAAAATGTTGCCGGGACCAGGGGCGCATTGCTGAGGATTTTACAATGAAACCAATGTCGCAGTGATTTCTTCAAATAATTTCACTTTTCACTGTTTTGAACCGAATCTGTGCGCTAGAAAATCCCACCATCCCAGCCCCCCACGTGTAAAAATCGTCCTGTTTCTGGAAGGCACGCGATCCCAGTTTTGATCCTAAATCCACAGTGTGAACAATTCTGTAATTCGGGTCTACTGACAGATACCAACCAGTTCATTCAGGTGAACCTCCCCCTTGCTCACTCATTTGAGAATTTGAACGCCTGGTGCAAATTTAAAATCATACTTTACTCGTCTCCCCCTCTTCCTCTACCCACGGCACACCACTCCCCACTCCCCCCAACCCTGTCCCGTTCACCCCTCATCTCACCCCACAATCCTCACAGAAAACTGAGATGATTTTTGTTGTTCCCTGGGCTAGCAGATTCTGTGGAGTTGTGGGGTGGGGAGAAGGGAGGTGAATGGGTGAAATTGAGTTGGTGGAAGGACAGGAGGCGGAATCCTACCATTTTCGAGGGAATGAATGCAAAATACAAATTAGTATATGATCTGAGGATAGATCATTTTGAGGCAGATTTCATATGCTTATTTTGTTTCGGATCTCGGGCTAGCGAACACATTTCTGATTTTTTTAAAAAAATGGATTTGTTCTGCCTCAGTTCCTTTTGATATCAAGTAGTAAAATTACACGGAAACGATTGAGTCAGTTTTTCGCTCGCTCGCTGTCTCTGTCTCTCCACGTACAATATTATATATGTGTGATATTTCAGTATAGTATATGGCAGCGGGTAGAAGTTGGCTGGTAGCGCCCCTGAAACTCTGAACTGCCGCGTGTTAAAACCATCAACCCGATCAGCAATACCTCCGGGAGGAAATTGGCGGGGATTGGATCTCGGCTTCTGCCTTGGAAGCAAACACGAATAAAAATCGGATAGAAATGACAATCTATCGGCACGCATTGTGTGGTTTGGGCGTTGACCTTTAAAGGGTTTGCATGGTATCCTTTTCTACATTGCTAAGAAATCATCTGGGGGTAGTTTACTTATAAAAATTATAAAATGGAAAAATATTAATACAAATATTTACACCAAGCTTTACGGCAGAAGACTCCATTGGTCGGAGTGTGGCTGCAATAAAGGAAGACAGGATTGTAGAATGGTTAGTAATTCTTTATGTTGTAGATTATGTCGTATGCACTTTTCTTTGAAGAGTCAGCAAAGAAGGTGGAATCCTGAGCTGCACATCTGTACTAGGATTGAGGGCAACCTATGGTCCACCCCAATAAGAGCAAAAAAGTACCACCTCAAAAGCGCCAAGATTCAAACGTCTGATTAATAAACCCACACGTCCCAAGTCACTTGAGATTTTGAAATGAATAATACTCATATAGTAAAGGGGCCATACACTCGCGTTTTCTTATTTTATAATTAATGTGTTGTACATCTATTTTTATAAAAATCCGCATTTTATTATTTGACCCTTTTAACTGACTACCCACCGCAACCGTCCTCCCCTTCCGCCGTGTCTTTCTCTGTCCCTCTCTCAGTCTTTCCCTGCCTTTGTGCTTCGCTCGGTTTACATCTCGCTATCTGTCTCAACCAGAGTGTCTCTCCCTCCGTCTGTGTGTGTGTCTGTGTGTGTGGGGCGGACTCTCTCTCTCTCTCTCTCTCTCCCCCACTGTGTGTCTGTCTGTGTTTCTCTCTGTCTGTCTGTGCGCCCTCCTCGCCTATTTCTTCCCGGTCTGTGTCTGTGTCTGTGTGTGTGTGTGTATGTGTGTGTGTGTGCTTGTTTCTGTGTGTGTGTGTGTGTGTGTGTGTGTCTGTCTCACTCTGTCTTTCTCTCAGTCAGTATTTCTGCCTCTGGACACCCTGAAGGAATGAACCCACGTGACCAAACGGGGCGGTCGATCAGGAGCCGAAAAAAAAAGCCATTTTGTGTGAGGAGCCTGTAGTAACAGCTCCAACCAAACACTGTTTCTTCGCTCGATTACTCGCACCAGAGACGGCGGGGGCCCGAAGACCAGGTAGGGACCGCTTTAAAAAATACTCTACTTTGCGACCGGCCTGGGGGACTGGGTTGGGGCTCCGGCAGCTGTCGACAGTTGAACGAAATTAGAGCTGCGAGCTCGGTTGACATCCTTATTGCTGTTTCTATTTCAAGATGGCGGCTTGCCTTGAATTCATTTCCACTGAACTGCTACTTTTCATTGTTGCTGCTAGATTGTCTCCGTTGCTCCGGTACTCATTGGGGCACGGGGCTCTCGTCCTGAGCCCTAGTGTTACCTTCGCCTGCCGCCCGGGTTCCTGAGAGAGCACTCGGGGCTCTCAATTGTTGCGGAATTGGAGTTGGGTTCCTCTCTCTCCCTCTCTCTCTCTCTCTCACTCACACACACACACACACACACACACACATACACAGTGCCTGTCTGCTGCCTCTCTCTCTCTCTGCCTTTTTCATACTGACGCTGGGCCACTTTCCCCACTCTCTCAACGCCGAATTAAGTTCGAAACCGTTGCTTGCTCCGAGGCGAGCGACACTCTCCCGGCACCGCTGGAAAACTCAGAGTTCCAGCTTCTGATCCTTGCTGCCTCTGAACTCCGGTTCGCTCTCGAAACACCGGGGAGAGCTTTCGAAAAGACGGTGCGCTCGACTCCGCCAACCTCGTGCGGTCAGAAGGCAGTCACCATCCCTACATTGGCCCCGATTTCAGTTTATCCCCCGGGTGTCAGCGGGATGATTTTATAGGATCGGAAAGTGCACAGTGTACGGGTTGTCTCCGTCAGGGTCCCGTGTTGATCTGACCGAGCCCGGGCATTTTACGAACTTATTTCCCCCAGCTTCTCTTTTCTGGAATACTCGTGAGTCGGGAGGGCTCTGGCCCCAGTTTACAAACTGGACTCGTCCCCGCGGCTGCATTGAAATTAGTCTCTCGCAGTTTTCATAGAGAAAGCCGGATCAAGGGGGAAGGCGAGTAAGGGGAGACACTGGTCTCATTTATCCCTTATTTTTATTTGTGTGTGAAAGACTCAGGACGGCTCCTGTTTAACACAAATCAGAGCAGAACAGGGAGCCTTGTGTCGAAATGCAAAGGGGTTGCAGGGACGTTAGAACGAAACTAAATTGAATCGTGATTTTATTTTAGAAAAAGCATGTTGTGTGTCTTGGATTGATGGCACATATTTTTCCCCCTTGATGCATGTGTTTTAAACACTCGAAACCTTTCCGAGATTTGCACCCTGTTCAAAAGGTTTGGACTTTTACAGCTTAATGCTAGAGTGTATTTGTGTGAAAATGTAGATAACATTGAATTGTTAGAATTGTATAACTCGGTAATTAATCTGGGAGACGGTGTGAAATTGAATTTTAATCTGTTTTTAGTTTACACTTTGTGAAGTTAATGCCATTCTTTGTAATGGTCAGCGGTGGTAGTACATGTCATTTTGGAGTTTCCTCGGCGTGTGTATTTTTCTTAACTTTTTTTTAAACCACTGCTTGGTTTCGGCAGTGACAGTTCTTCTCCAGTCTGTGTATAACAACAGCGGATAACTATAATTAAAGACTGAAATCTGGGTGTGAAGCGACGACCAGAACAGTTACGTCTTTGAAAAATGGTGAATATTTGTCTCGGAGGGGCAGGTGGGGCTGGGTTGTGGATTTGGTGCAGCTGAGGAGATTGTTTGTTTATTTTTAAAATATATATTTTTCCAGAGAGAGGGAAGTGTACGCGTTAGAGATGGAGTCAGTGAGTTTACGTGTTGATACCTCGTAACTTAAAAAAGTGGGTCTTTCTCAGTACTTCCATGCGGCGATCACCCCAGCCCCCGAACCCTCGCCCCCTTTCAATACCCCCCACCCCCGCCTGCCCCCAGGGCACAAGTACAGGAACCGCTCATTGGCGACTTCACATGAGCCTAGAGAGAGGTCGAGTCGGTCCAAGTTAGGATAATTGTTTATTAACCCAGGGCAGAGGGGTGGAACATAGCTCAGACCAAACTCGTCCAAAATGTGCCTAGAAACGCCGGGCAGCATTGCTCTGTCACTGGTGTTATTTTCCACACGCACCTACCCATGATGATTTGAACTGATATTATGTGTGAGGAACGAGTTAATCATCTGTACGCATTTTTGAGGAAGTTACCGTTTGCTCTGCATTTTCACTACCTGACTCGTCCCGGTGTCTCCCATGACTGAAAGTCATGTGATCTTGGGTCTTTTTCTAGAAAAAAAAACAAAAAAATACGGCAAAAAATCTTGACAAAAATCACGTGTGTGTGTGGTGTCTACTATATCCGGGTTCCAGCCGCTGCTACTATAGTCGCCAGACTGCTATGAATTCACCGATAGATTCTGTGGGTGAATCCGACCGCGGTGCTGGTTCCTTGTCATATGAAACGTTCGGATCACCGGGTTATTGAAACGCCCGATGGCGAATGTGTAGATCAATATCGGTGACTGAAATCCTTCCTAGCTCAGGGGTCTGACCGACAATAACCCGTTTTATTTGTGCTGAATGAAAATACGGGAATGATAGGCGATGTGAGTGTGTGGCTTAGCCACCCTGGATCTCGGAGAGTTATCGGTTAGAAGTGTCATCTGTAGGTAACGGATTCCCGATTGGTAGAATTTCCTATTCCCCAACCTTCACCAAGATGACACTTAATGGTTTGAGTTTCTTGGTCTCAGTGACTGCAAGCAACGCACACATTGCTAATGCATTGTCAAATTAGCAAAAACAGAAAGTGCTGGGGAAACTCAGCAGGTCTGGCAGCATCAGCGGAGAGAGAAACAGACTTGTGTCCACTGACCCTTCTTCAAAAGTTCGCTTTATGACATTGTAGACCTGTTCTGTGGACTTCAACCTGGGTACTTGCAAAGTTTACTTTTTAAAGAGTCTCTCTCTCTCTCTCTGACTTTGGCCCCGCCAGTCTCCTTTCAGCAAAACCTGCCTCTCGTGAGTCCGCGGCAGTGACATAAGCTGCCGGTTTGTGAAATTGAATGAGACGTAAATTACATTTTGCTGTCGAAATGAAATCGCACGCAGGCCAATCCGAAGCAACTTTCTGACGCATTCGGTAACCCGTACACTTGGCAACAGTAATTATTCTGCAAATTGGCCGTTAGATTAGGTAGGGCTTTGTATCGTTCAGGCCCTAAAACATCCCCTTTAAAAAGATCCAAGAATTATAATCATTTGCCCTGTGTTAAACATAGCGGTAGAGTCGGTTTTATTTCAATGATCTGTGCTTTTTAAAAAAGACATAATGAACTTGTTTATAGACAGATGCAATCGCAGTAAGATGTGAACAAACATTTAGCTGGGAGTTTTGGAAGTGGGTTTAAAAGTGACAACTGGACTGAGGAACTACAGCTTTAATTTATTGCGATTCCCACCATCCCACCAGGCCTGCTGCAATTCAAAAGTATGGCCTGCCCTTGCTCTGAAAAGCAAGTTCACGGGTCATAGGGGACAAGGAATGAAACGTAGGGGGATCCCCCAACTGCATTGGAAATGCTGGAGAAAGCCCGAACAGCTTTCGATCCTGAGGGATCCATTTTAGAACCCCATGGTTAAAACTTTCAACTGGCATTTGTAATATTGACCCAAGTTGAATTTATCTAAGATGGTTTATGTAACAAAGCCTTCGCAACAAGACAGATTGTTTAAAAGTCCCAGTCTATTGCAATGATCTTCTGACCAGTATCGCCCCTATCATAAGGCCTACATGGTTTACTTGGGGGAAATTCAGATGCTTAGTTTCAGGAGCTGCCTAATTTTGTTTCTGTGCGGCCTTATCGATAAGGGATGCACACATTGCACAGTCACACAACAGCCGTTGCTACAACAACCACCAGTGCAATCTAGGTTTTAAAAAAATAGAGGCTCAGACAAGCAAATTTAAGGAACAAAACCCTTATACAGGAAATGTCAGATAGAAGCCGGCATTGTTGCTACTGCGCTTGTAATAACCTTGGCATTTTGTTGCATTTTTAATGTGCAGATTTAAGTGGAGTTACATTGGAGAGAAAGACCAACTAGTTTGTGCTCTGAGATAGACTGAATTTGAACTAGTTTACCGCGAACTGAACTGACGCGTTAGACAGAGATTCTCAAAGTTTGGCTTTTTTAAAAAGAGTTATACTTGCTGTGAGTACACTGCAAATAATCTCAATTTTAAAGATGCAGCTGGATTCTTTCAGTTTTCCTGTGCAATTTGTCTTCAAACTTTTTTCTCTGTTTTTTTTGCTGTAATAATGTAAGTCTGATCGCCTCAATAATCAGAAAAGAAAAGCTGACTCGTTGTTGCTTGTAGTTGCGGGATAGCACAAGCAAGAAATCTAATCCACAGTGAGAGTTAAGTAATGTGTTGACTCTGACAGGAACACTCCAGTGAAGCGCTCTGACCTCCAACCTTTGAGTGTCCCACTGCTGGCCAAAGATCTAGTAGCGAATGATTACTGAAATCCATTTTTTTGAAAGGTGGAGACAGAGTGTGACGGTGGGGAGAGCTATGATTAAGGGAGGGTCACGTGTAATGTAATTTGCGTCCGCTAAGACTGTGTGTCTATAATCCCAGGAGAGTTCTTCTGTTTAGTAACTTCATCAGGTAAACCACTGCCTTTAAAATAAACGAGCAATGCTTGTCAATTACTTCCAATCGGTGGGATTTATCTTCAAATAAGATTGGCTGACACTGCTTTGTTTATTTCAGATGTTCGTCACCAGTTCTTTATTCCAAAATCTGGGTCATACTTTATTGCAACTGACACTTTTTGCGGGGTGGAGGCGTGGGGTCGACTTGTCATCGTCCCTGTCCCCATTCACAATCAGAAGTCCAATGCTTGCTGTTGCAATAATTTCCCAGAGAAATGGAGCATTAATGGGACGTGATGCAAGTATTGTTTCCTTCGCCCAATCACAAGCTTGATTCAACCAGAGCCCAGTATACAGATAAAAAGCAGAATGCATCTCCCCCTCACTCTCTTGCCTTGCTACCGATCAATGCAGCAACAAGGTCGGTTGGTGGCTGTGTGGAACTGTCTATCTGTCTCCAGTTGCAATAAAAGATATTTCAACGTAATCCAGTCACGTGGTCGACCAAGAGCGTCATCTGCAGATCATATACATGCAAGCACACACACTCACTCAAATGCACACAAACACAGACACACTCATACACACGCACATCCAAGTGCACATATTCAATCAAGTACATGCACAAACACACACTCAAGTAAATTCACAAACACACAGATGCACTCATATGCACACTGACTCAAGTGCACACATTCATTCATATACACACTCTCAAGTACATGCGCAAACGCGCGCACACACTCACTGAAGTACACACATGCACACAGACACACGCATTCAACTACACACCGTCAAATACACGCACAAATACAAACGCACTCTGATATATACATATTCTCAAGTACGCGCACTCATACACACTCACGTAAATGTACATAATCTCACACACTCAAATACACGCACACTCAAATATACACGTTCAAATACACGCAGACATTCGGCAGTCACATACTCTCGTACCCATATACGTACGTATTCAAATACCCTTTAACGCATTCACTCAAGCACACACTAAAAAATAGATACACCTAACAGACGATACACGCAGACACATGCAGCTAAACACACGACACTCACATACACTCAAACACATATAGACAACGCACAGACACAGGCGAATGCAGCTAAATACAAACACACGCACACTCCAACACACACACAAACAACACCCAGACACAGGAGGCTGGCGATCCTTTCAACTCATTTGCATCGTGAGTCCACTTTGTGTTGATTTCCAAAAGAACTGATTTAAATATCAGGTACAGTTGGGTGGGTTTCTTCACTTCTCGCAAGATGGATTTGTTTTCATCTGTTTTTGCGGAGGGGGAGGGGAGGAATCTTACGAAGTGTAAAGACGGTCGCTATAGTAACCAGAAGTGGGTACTACAGCCGCTAACCACGTCATAACACGTACAAGCCGATGTAATGTCTCTGTGGTTGTTTTTAAATTGGAAAGTCTGCTGGCTGCGCGGTTTTTTAAACCTTTTTTTCATATACTTTTTTTTCGCGTGGTAGTGTCACTCGCCGGCCGCGGGGGCGTGATGCTGCATTTTCAAAGGGATATTAACTTTCTCCAGCATCGATTTAAGCAACCGCGTATGTGCCCCAATGCAGGCAATACTCTACAGAATGAATTGCGTGTTAAATGCTCATCGGACCATTTATCTGATTTTGTACGGATCAATGCCTATGAAAACGTGTGTGTATGTGTGTGTGTGTTTGTGTTGGTGGATGGGGGGGTGGTGTTGTAGGAGATGGAGAGAGGTAGAAGAACGAGAGAAAGAGCATGATTTCCCAGTAAAAATAACAGTAAGTGTAAGCTGAGAGCGGGCGAGAGATTGTAGATAAAACATTCGGTGTCAGCAGTCTGCTGATAGGACGCGTGCATGCTTTGCAGAAGCGGCAACAGACCAAACGTACAAAAGGGATTAGGAATATTCCCGAGAATACGCACAGGAGTATGGCCTTTACCGTGTACCGTTTGTTTAGCGAGGCGCCGTACCCTTCGGTGGCTTGCGACGTACGGACAGGTAAATTGGAAAATGGGGTGCAATGGGATCGAATGCAGCAACCTGCGTCAATCCTGTCTATTTACACGTTAGTTGAGTCTTCCCGTGTTATCGAAATGTGCATTTTCTCTGTCGGAATCGGGTTTCTTTTCCACCTCAAAACGACGTGCGTCTCCTACGAATCTAGACTTGTCGTTAGCATGATGTGGGTAATGACCTGTTGGCACAGTGTCGCTCCCGGGAAAGGCCCCCGGGTTCTGCAAACCCGAAAAGTTGACCTTGCCCGATTGAAAATATACCGAGGCAGAATGGATTGACACGAGACATGGTCTCACAGCGTCTCCAGCCGTGTTTTGTTTAGATGCATTTACGTGATTCCCGATATAATCCACGCAACATACACCAGATTCCTTTCAGAAATGATTCACTGGCACAGGTCCCTGTAATGGTTCATTACAAATCAAGTGAGCACAGAATGTGGTACATCCCTCACTTGCTTTCAAAAAGCTATAACTCTCAGGGCCTCACTCTTTCCAGTCTCCAAATGGCTTCGCACCCATATACTGTCTGCGTGTGATATATAACGAACATTCTAATTCAACTTAAACTAGATTAATGAATATTTATGACCTGTTATGGGCCGCCTGTGATTTTCAGACTTTTTTTCTCTCCCTTTCCCCTCCCCATAAAGTTTTTAGAATTTATCATTTAAAATATGAGTAGTTTAGTAAGGAAAACTATCTCTTAAAAGTTTAGACACCAGAAATACAACATCGCCTCTTCCTTTCACTTCTCAGTAATTCAGTGGCGACTATATACCAGGACCTCAATTGCAGTGAGCGCTCGATGTTTCTGATTAGGGCAGACCTTTACCATAATCGATGCCAAAGGGGAGCTAACGGTGTTTTCCATGGGTGTCCTCCTGCCCTCATGTTGAGGCTTTTGCCCCGTCTGTAAACAGGGCCATGAAGAAGATGCAGTAGGGGAGAGGAGAGGAGCCCTTGTCCACCGGTGATGATCGCATCGTCCTGGGTTTTACCACGGTCTTCAACACTGACGCAACTCACCGAAGCTGCTGGTGCAATGTATATTGAAGTAATTCGGATTAAACAGCCATCGGCGATGGGTGTACTTTTAGATTGGGACGCGCAAGCCGCCTGCTAAACGTTAGAATGAATGTTCACGTCACACCCGTAGTTTATCGTGAAAAACACCCAACCTCCCAACTGCACTCCCATCCCCAAAACATATCGTCCGTTCATGTATTAAGGAGAGGCATCGCATGTCAGGATCCCGACTGCTCTATTCATCTGTCACATAATCACTGTCTTTCTTTTTTGAGGGATGATTAAAAGGCACAATATACCAACGGGCCATTTGCACAATTGATTACAAAGCTTCGGACTAACATTGTTTTATTTTCCCCCAGCACGCTCAACTTTTCAAAGTAGCCAGACCTCATATTTATGCGATGAAGTATTTGAGAAACATGCATTAAGTATGGGATTGGATATTTATATCTACCTTTTAAGATAGTTGCTTAGTAACCGCGTCTACATAGAAGGAGGCATTTGAGGTAAAGCTGGCGTATACAGTACTATGTGGTAAGAGACTAACGGAGAAAAAGTTATCTCTCATTTGATGTATGATTTAAGATCGAGACCTCAAGCATCCAATGTGAAATCATCTTTCCAAAGTACATGTGCTTTTGCTCCCAGTTGCTCAATTACCGAGTCGCAAACATTGAAGAAACCAATTGTTCTTTCTCAAGTGCTGAAGAAAAAGCAATCAATAAATCTCAAAATATGTTTGCGAAATGCTAGTTACTCAACACGATCCTTCACAACCACGACATTTTACAAAATCCAGTGATTAGCTCCACATTAAACTATATTGAGGAAGGATTAATACTGTTCATTAGACATAGGAATTGATGTTCCGAAATGCGTACCCAACGAACAGCTCCACATTAAAACATATTGGGGAAAGATTAATACTGTTCATTAGACTTATGTCTGCAGATTCCAAATGGATTTGTTTGCACTTTCACTGAACGGAATGACAAGAGTAATTCTTTCACCCGTCCCAAGTTCTAGACGATTGAATAGATTAGGATTTTTTTAAGTTGGAATATAGCAAGTTGCTGTTTAATGTTAGTGTATCAAGATAGCCTCCTCAAGCCAAAATGATCCCCGTGTTACTGCTGCAACGTTGAAAGCTTTAACTTTTCATAAATAACTTTACCAATCTCCTGCTGAACTCAATGGTTAAGAAATGAGTGGGTTAACAGAGTAACGCCCTTCCTCCACCACAGCTTCTTCTCGCCTTTTTTTGTAATTTCTACTTACTGTTATGTTTTCTGATTAGATTAACAGTGGGGTGCCTCGCATCACATTATCCAAGCTTTCAGCTATTAGCATTTGTAATAATGCAGGGTCCCCAACTCATTACTAAATGATTCAAGTCGTATTTGTATAAAATTTGCAGCCCCAATGTTGAGGTTGCTGTCTCTTCTAGCAGTTTAGGGTCCAGTACGTTTAATTAAATAGAGATGAGTCATTGTGACAATGCAGAAACACGGGTTATGTATTTCTAGCGTTGACACTCCCAGTGTTTAGTACTTCACCTCATTCTTGGGCCTTCCCTGGGGCTTCGCTTCTCAAACAGTGCATTCCCGGGTTCTTTATGTATTCCATGGAATATAATTTAAAATCCTTCTTAATCGTGTTTCCTAAATACGCCCTCGTACTCTATTCAAGAATGTTGGGAATTCGGACATTTTGATAATGGAAAAGTGACTACTAAAGTTAGAATGAAATTGTTTGCTTATATAAGGCCCTACTTCCGGTGCTTTTCTTCTTTATAAAATCGAATTGTTTGGAACATCTCAGCAAACTTGCACAAGAGTTTCAACACCCTTAATAATTTATAATATTTTGTTAACTTTGCAGAGTCTACTGCAGCTAAAATGCACAGAACCACTCGGATCAAAATCACAGAACTCAACCCTCACCTGATGTGTGCGCTGTGCGGGGGATATTTCATAGATGCCACAACCATCATTGAATGTCTACACTCATGTGAGTTTATTTTAATCATGCTTAATGTGAACTCTTAATGCTTAAGCCTAAAGCACGCCCATCACTACCTTTCAGCAGCCTACGGGTGAGATGTGTTTTGGAGATTAGGTGAGCAGTATCTGACAATTGGTTGCAACAGTTTTGCTGTCATGTATTTCTTCAGTTATGTGAATTCTAATGGTAATGTGCACCTCAGCCATCTTTTCACATCTCCTACTCAGAAAACGTGGTCAGTGAACCGAGTTTGGGTTCATTGTAAAGATGTAAACACTATCCGATTTTACTTATCTTGGTCGCCACCAGGCTTTAGATTTTCACTTGTTAAACGTACCGAACCCTGAATAACGCAATTTCACTACATGACATTTTCTGTCACGCTAGGGTCTTTTACTTCACCTGCTTCCTCGTGATGATCAATATGTGTCTTTGTTTGCGGCGAAGCTTAACCCGCATCGTTGCTAACCCTGAACCAGATGGAACCCAGGGAGTATTGTACTAGCGCCATTCTCTGCATCGCGAGGTACCAGGGTCAGAAGTGAAATCAGGTGTTATGCTTTGCCAAGATATCCGTTTAGCGCCCCTTTAACTTTAACCTTTGGTCCTCTCAAACGCTCCAATGTTCATGAATCGTACAAGTACCTTTGATTGTAATATAACACGCACCTCTTCTGGACGAAAGGCTGTAACCCAATCTGACGGTTCATGTGACGTCTCTGAACAGCTGGAGCTTTGTTCAGCTTGTTGCTGAGGTCATAGTAATCCCTTCATTATGTTAAAGCTCCAACCCCAACAAGGTAACCAGGAGCTTTTCACTATATGCCTGTTCCTTTGTAGCTAATGCATGAGTTAGACAAGACACAAAATAATTAGTAAAATGTTGTTTTCAATCATGAGTAATTTACTGCAATTTCATTATAGCTTTTTAATCACTCAAATTTGTTAAAAACGATTTCAGTATGACAGCTACAATACTACTGGGATTTGAACTTATTTTATCTGCTTGTATATTTTAAATTAAATATACTCCATTCAATTACTATTTTTGAAACATAAATTATTCTATTAATTATTATTGGGAAATTACATGTTAATTATATGTTACATGTGATAATTGTAATATTCCTTTCTGATTGTAACGTTTCACCCTTGTAACTTCAGTTCATTTTATTGCAAATGTAATTGATCACTTATTGCCTATTTGCTAAATTATTTTATTTCAACCCTATGTGTAATGAATCAGGAACAGACTAATTATTGTAAATAAATACTTGAGCAATCAGTTGGAATTAGTTATTGATGTGTTTAACAGTATTAAGGCATACAGCATAGATCAGAATGGAAACTGTGAAACAATCTTATTGTTGTTAACTTCCTTCTGCAGTGCAGTTCAGAAAAAAAATAAGAATTAAGATTGAAAATTATTACAGCAGGGTGCTTAATTGAAGGCAGGAGCATAATTTCAGAATTTAAATGACCATTCTGGAAGTGCAGAATTTTGAATGAATTGTTATCTTGTATCCACCATCATGATCTATCATTCACAAAAGATACAACATTTAGAAGACATTTGGATGGGTACATGAATGGGAAGAGTTTAGAGGGATATGGGCCATTTGCTGACATGTGGGATTAGATTAATTTGGGATATCTGATTAGTGTGGATGAGTTGGACTGAAGGGTCTGTTTCCATGCTGTATAGCTCTGTGACTCTTTGACTCTATATAACACCTGTGATTACATTAGTGCTTGAAAACCATTCTAGACAATACATGTATTTTGCAATCATTTTATTCTCTACACAATTAATTTGATTACAATTACCAGCAAGCAAGAAACTCCAGCTATTCATTAATATATCACTCAGTCTCTTGTTTGAATTGTAGCTTTATAAACAATGGTACATATGCAAAATTTTCTGCATAAAACAATTACAAATATTGATTTTGAGTCTCCTCCCAATTGCCTTTGTCATTCAGGCTAACTTTACGCATTGAGAAAAGATAGAAACTCAAACATCTGTAAGCCTTAATTCTGTGTAAAGAATATCGACCCTAAAGTAAATTACAAGTTTGTAATAACTCATAGAAGTTGTCCATTAAATATTTTAAAAAACCTGAATGCATGGTGAGGTTATATCCCTGTTAAGAGTCCACTTGTATTCTGTCCCGTATATAGATCATCTGAACCTATTAATCAAATAAATGCTTTGCAATATCATCTGTGCATTTTTCTCTTTGTAATCAATCACCATTTATTTATTTTTATCTGCATCCAATCACCAAAACTGTCTGTGTAATTCTTCAAGACATCAAAAAGACTTTACATGGGGCTACATACGTGAAAATTAATATTTTTATTTTCTTCTTACAATGCTCTATAAATACTCATTTACAATTAACTATCATTCAATAAAATTTATTTTTATCCAAACAAAGCACATTATCATCCTGAAATTGTTTCAAAACAAAAAAAATCATGTTACCCTGGTTGAAAATTATATCTAACCAGGCAGAAAATATAAAGATGTATTCTTTGTCTCAATTCTTTTGTCTTTTCAGTTTGTTCAGTAAGTTGAAGGAGTTTTTGTTTGGAAATAAAACCTTATTTTTGTCATGGATTATAAAGATTACAAATTGCTTTGTATGTATGTCGGAATCAGAATGGATGTTAACATGATTTAAGTGAAGAGAACTGTACAACAAGGCTGTGTACTGTAACCAATGTTATTCAGTCTGTACACAAAACAAATATTTAGTGAGTTAGATGTCCTTCAGGGGAAATATTAGAGGCCAGAACTTAACAACCACTGCCAAGAACACTACTTGCAGAATCAGAAGAGTCCTTTGTTTTTATTCATTCATGGAATGTGCGTGTTGCTGACTGGGCCAGCATTTATTGTCCGTCCCTAGTTGCCCTTGTGAAAGTGGTGTGAGGTCCCTGCTTGAGCCACTGTAGTCTATTTGATGTAGCTAGCCCAAAATGCTGTTAAGAAAGAAATTCCAGTATTTTGACCTAACAAAATATCTTTGATCAAGCAAAATCTGTAAGTTTGCACATGGATTGAATGTGACCATGAATAACAAAAAAATGAAAATGGTAGTCAGAAGGAATATGTGAGGAAAATAAGCTATAGTGAAATTGAAATAGATGGTGTTACACTAGAACTAGTGGGCAAGTTTGTTTATTCAGAACAAATGGTGGCACATAGGATGCCAAAGTCAGATAGAGGTAGATAGAAATAATTTTGTGAAGGTGAAGGGTGTGTTAACAAAAAGAAAACTCAAACTTTTACGGGGGGGTGGTGGGTGGTTGGGGAAACTCAGGATGCTGCATTATATCAATTGTTTTGTATGACAGAGAAACATAGACAATAAATAAAAATCTGCGGAAGAAGGTAGGGGCCTTTGAAATGTGAATGTTAAGATGTATGCTAAAAACTCCACATACAGACCATAAAATGAATGAAGAGTTACTTGAAATTGCAAAAGCAAGATATACTCCAAACAATGACATCCAAGAATGTCAGTATTTCAACTGTTTGATCAGAGCTGAAATGCTACAGGAAACTCTCCTAGAGGGTAAAGTGGATGACAGCAGAAAGACAAGTTGACCGAGGCATTGTTGGAAGACTGATTTCACAGAACAGTTTCAGAGGAGCTCGAGCTGGTGCTTGAATAGAGCATAAGTGTGACAAACTATGCGGTAGATGTCCTGGCAGGAGTATGTCAAAATTCCCAAAAAACGATTCGCTAATCATTTGTATTCTGATACCTGCAGTGTCTATTTCATAGAATCCCCACCATGTGGAAACAGCCATTCGGCCTACTAAATCCACACTAACCCCCTGAACAGCACCTCACCCAGACCCACCCCATCCCCTGCCCTGTAACCCTGCATTCCCCATGGCTAATTCACTTAGCCTGCACACCCCTGGACACAATGGATAATTTACCATGGCCAATCCACCTAACCTGCACATCTCTGGATTTCTAAATCACACTGGTTCATGTTGACATGTTTCTAATTTTGGCCGAGTTAACCTGTGTAATAACCGCGAAGAACATTTTCAAAAATGATTGACTTCACTAATAAATTAATCCGGGATTAGATAGTGAAAAGTTGGTGTTTTGTATCACCATATCATGCAACGTTAACAGAAACTGTAGTATGTTGCAAAGCAATAACTGATTGAATGATTGAGGTGACGCTTAAACCGTGACAGCAAAACTGGAAGACTTTATTAGCTAATGTGAAACCTAGAGTATGTTAGTGCCTCTGTGGACCCTGCAGTGTTGCAGAATTTAGCATGGGGGTGTCGTGAAGGCGGCCATTCGCTACGCAATCGTTTTATTTTACAGAAATGTTACAGAGATTGATTTTACTGCTGGTTTGGGGGAGGCTTGCTGTTTCATTATAATATTCCGACGTAAACAGATCTATCAAACTTTATACCTGGAGTTAGGCACCACTCTCAGCAACAACGGCCTGCGTTTGTCTGAAGAATAGGCCCAGAAAAACTGAAACTTAATGGCGTCCCTAAGTCTCTGGAAATAGGTTACTTGGAGTAAGCCAACAAAAGGAAAGCTAAGGGCCAGTTGATGCAGCAACCTTCCTGTTTGAAAGCACTCACTTACATGTTGAGTATTCAAAGACTTGAGAGGAATTGAAGTTAGGAGTTGTCTCCACAAAAAACTGTGCACCAATTGGAAACTTCAAAGTTGAAATTGACAGTGCTTTGTTCGGTAAAGGTGGCGGCGGTGAGAGTGGGATAAGTAGCCAGGATATGTTGTTGAACAATACTGATCAGCCACGTTCTCATTGTCTCGGTGTAAGGTGGAGGATTCAACAGCCTCTACTTGTTGCTATATGCTTAAAAGACTTTTTAAAGAAAATAGGAATGGCCCCAATATGAACTCGACATGTCCATCATTGCAAGTGGTCGCATGCACCAGGGTGCTGTAAAATATCACTCAAAGCGACACATTGTTCGAGTTAGATCTGCCTGCATCTGTAGAAGTATGTTTCTACAGTCTTCGACTGCCCACGCGAACTCTGCAAGATCCTCAAGCGCTTGAGGGCAAGCCAGGGAAGGTGGGGCCTCCAGAACTGAAACGCGAGGAGCAGCTCAAGTTGTGACTATGGTTGTCCCAGTCAGCCCATCATCCACATCCTGAGATGCCACCCTGAGAGAGATCCATTCCTGGTGCTATCACAACCAATTATATTGTGTCAGCTGAAACAATTGAATTGATCGCCAATCTGGACGTTGAGTTATAGCCGCTTTCCAATCGAAACCAAAAAAAACCCAAACAGCATTAATGCATCTCATATTTATCTCTACTGCTCAGATATTTGTAAACTCAATATCAGGGCTTTAGATTCCATATGTTCAGAAATAATATACGATACTGAGGTTCTTGGACATTTGCGCAAAGTGATCAGAAAGTTTGAAGTTTCACTCGTCTACTTGCTATTGTCAAATGGTCTAACAATTAACTTTTTTTTCTTTAAACCCTGGCAGTTTGTAAAACTTGTATCGTTCGCTACTTGGAGACCAACAAATATTGTCCCATATGTGACGTACAAGTTCACAAAACTAGACCCCTACTTAGCATCAGGTGAGTTGTGTTGGAACCTTCTGGAACCTGTGGTTGTGAATATCAGTTTTAGCAGGCTTTTTACTCTCCGAAGAATTGGATATGTATTAGCCAAACTTCATCAACACCATCCCTTCACTTAGCTCCAGGCAAACATCTAATTTTTGAACGCTGGCGAGTTCTGTCTCTCCCTCTGACCATTCCCCTTTAAGAACTGGCAGCAACTTGCGGAAATTCATGTTTTTATAACATTATAACATAACATAACATAACATAACAAATTATAACATAAACGGCGCTAAAGGGAACCGAGCTCACGTAGTGTGTGTGTAAACTGTTGTTTCCACGTTCACCCTCGTAAGGTAGTCCTTGTTCCTCCTTTGGTAATCATGTAATCTCCCCCCAAATCATGTGATTAACTGGATTACTGAGGCCTTTTCTGACGAGCGCATCTTCATATTTATTAGACATAGTTAAATGTGGCATAACTTGAGATTGCCGCCCGTGTACTTTCAACTATTGTCCTCCCCTCTGTTCCAGGGCCGATAAAACGTTACAAGACATAGTTTATAAATTAGTTCCTGGCCTTTTCAAAGGTAGGCAACTTTTCTTCACGTTTTGCCTCATTTTTTGCAAAGGTTAAAATAGAGCACTTGTACTCATTTTGCTGCTTTTATTTTCTCTTACAGATGAGATGAAGAGACGGAGAGATTTCTATGCGGCACACCCCTCCGCAGATGGTAAGTGTTAATGTGAAAAAAGGAGATTAACGTCGCCTGTAAATTTGAGACTGTCTTGGGAACAAAGCCTTCTTATTTCGGCAGCAAATCTGCCTCCCTTAGAACTCAATGCTACATGATCAACTTCAGTCTAATATCAGAATCACACAACAGAATACTTCTACTGACAATTCAGAAACACCAGAGGGTTAACCTCTATTTACGGGGGGGTGGTGGTGGTGGGCGCGGAGGCAATGACCCAGTGGTATTATCGCTGGGCTGTTAGTCTAGCGACCCAGATAACGTTCTGGGGACCTGAGTTTGAATCCCACCACGGCAGATGGTGGGATTTGAATTCAATAAATATCCGGAATTAATGATCTAATGATAACCATAAGCCAATTGTCAGGGGGAAAAAAAACCCATCTGGTTCACTAATGTCCTTTAGGAAGGAAGCCACTTACCTGGTCTGGCTTACATGTGACTCCAGACCGTCTGGGCAATTAGGGGTGGGCAATAAATGCTGCCGTAGCAAATGATACCCTCACCTCGTTAATGAATTTTTTAAAAATGGAACTCGGATATTAATTAATGTGGTTACATGAAGTCATTTTCTGTTCAATCTGCCTCCAAACAGTACATTTATTTTATACATACCGTTGGCTGTGCGGTCAACATAATAAGAGTTTTTTTTAAAAAAATCCAACTTACTTTAAGAAGCCGAATGCACCAGCGAGGCTTCAAAGGGTTAAATAAACAGGCGAATCCTAAACCGGCTGTTGTGTAAAGCAGAGATGACAATCACGGGAAAACAGAGAATGTACCCTCTGGCCGTTCGATCTCCAGTATCTGTACACTTGACTTTCTATAAACTCGGGTTCAATTAATTGAATAGTTCTAGGTTTTCCATCTTCCAACTATCAATTCAAGCATATCTACACTTCTTCCCTGCCTAAACAGTCACAAATGGTTCAAACGAAGATCGTGGGGAAGTCACTGAAGAGGAGAAGAGAATTATTACAGACGACGAAATTATTAGTTTGTCTTTAGAGTTTTACGAGGGCAACAAGTAAGTTGAATCGTCTTTGGCAACGCAACGATTAATTTGAACCTTCCTTAAGTCTTAACTTCGGGATTGACGGCAGTATTGATTTTCATAGCATTTCACTGTAATTTACAGAAACAAAAGCGCGTCTATCTATTTGAATTAACGTGACACAGATACCGTTTAACAAGTAACCAGGGACCACTAGAATATTGGACATAGTCACACTGCTACATATGATCGAGTATAAGTACAAAGTCTGGAGTGAAAACAAAGCGTGCCAATGTTGCGGGACATCAGATGAAAGATACTCATCCTGTTTAAAAAAAAATCTGTCTTGGTCATCAGATTCCCAGCAATCCATTAGTATCAATCAGCTCGGCGATTTTCCTTGTCTAAAATAGAAGGGTAGGCGTCTGTGAACAGCTGTCTTCCATTATATTGCATTGGCGGGAATTACAAATCTCTTTTAGATAATAATTGGTCTACCGTGCAATTATGACATTTTGCTAATGCAATATAATTGAATCCGCATCACCTTGCATTAGGTGTACCGTTTGTATAAGAACCTCTTTCACTGTAAGGGGGTAATCACTGTTATAATGTCCAGAACGGCATGAATTTGCATTCAACAAGACCCTACAATCAGCAATGAGACAATGACCATTTGTTTCTCTCGCGTTGGTGACGTTTTGGTGAAGGATTAATATTGGACAGGTTGCCGGGGAGAACTCTTCTATCCTTGCTCCATCTGTGCCCCAATGCTTCACCTTAACACGAGTCAATGCATGTTCAAAAACCCATCTGTTACTAACAGATCCTCCATTTGATATAGATTAATGATGAAATATTTAATAATTATACAACCATCTTTATATCAATACAAAACCACGTTACATGTACATTATTTCACTAATTTTAAGCGTAAGGGATTATTGAATTTGGTAAAACTGTCGGATTTGCATGTTCATCCATTGTCACCTTTACGTTGGTCATTATATTCCTTTACAAATTGCATATTTAATGAACACCATGTTCTATTTATTTATTGGTTCATCGTTAAACTGCCCGAGGACGCAGTTTCCTGCGGAGAGTTTTCCATTTTATGACTTTCAACTTAATTTATCAGAAAGATTATTGAAAGCAGGGTACTAGAGATTAAATACTACGAACAAGAACAATTGGGTTTCTATCCAAATTCTCGCAAATTCTATCTATTCTGCATTGTGTTTATGACGAGCCGAAATTCTACAGAGTTGTAAGAACATTCAAGTTACTATTTTTGGAGAGACCAAGTCACTGTAATTAACAATGTCTGACTCTGCAGACCATAAGGAAGTTAGCGAGCTCTCAGTTCCAGTCAGTAAAGAATTATAAATCGGAATGAAAATTAATGACTACACGACCTTGTAATTAATTAAAGAAAAAAATTGTGTTTCTTGCGCGCTTATCAAGAACTCAACGTGTTTTACAGACAGTGGCGTATTTCTGGGAATCTAGTAATTGTTTTGTTAAAAAAACACGTTTAATCAAACCTTTTCAATTTGTGTCGTTCTAGATCAGAAAAGAAAGAGGTCCCGCAGCCTGAAGATACAGATAAGGTAATTCACTGTTTAAATTGTAAAATTAAGTTGTGAAAGCAAAAATAAACGCTGGGAATCACAGTGAATCAGGCAGCATCCGTGGAGAGAGAGCAACCTAACGTTTCGAGTCTAGATGAATTGTTTATAGCAAATTCTCTAATAGACTACAGGGGCGATCGTTGATATTAGCAGAGGCAAACGTTTATATTTTTATTTATTCATTTATTGGTCCGAACTGAATGTAGCAAGATCTCCATTTCACAGTTCCGTTTTCTTCAGAGTACCAGTCGACTCAATAAACAGATCACTTCCGTGAGCGTCTAAAATATTCAGTAAACTCAATTCCAGTTGGCAGTGTCTTAGAGCAGAAAACCACTTCCGTGGTTGAGGTTTCAAATATTAGGTTAGAAAGTCAGAATCAACATCACAGCAGCTTATAGCATGGGCAGAGCCGTTCGGCCCATCAAAGCGGTGTCAGCTCTTTGAAAGCACTAGCTAATTAGTCCCCTTCTTTCGCTATAATCTTGGTATTATTGCAACATTTGAAATGCATCTGGATGGGTACATGAATAGGGGAGGATTTAGAAGGATACGGGCCAAATGCTAGCAAATGGGACTAGATTAATTTAGGATACCTGGTCGGCATCGACGAGTTAGACCTACGGGTCTGTTTCTGTGCTGTACAACTCTATGACTATGGCTCTAAATGCTTACAAAGAATCTTTGCTAATATAGTTGATTAGTAAATGCTGACACAATGTATTAAGAAGTTTTGGGGTAGATCTATTTAGGAGTTTGATTGTCCATTTTAGTGTATAATTTAAACAGATATGATGAATACTTTCAGAGACATGAAACAAAAGAGGCTGCTCCACGACAGAGCAAAGCTTCGTTCATGAAAGTAATTGTTACATTTAGATTACGAAGCTGCTAATATACTAATGATATTTTGCAAACACAACAGTGGGTCTTTTTAGGGGGCAATTTTATGGGTTGGAGTCAGAAAATGTTTGTGGCCATAGGTGTAGCTGTAGTTAAATCGGTTATTAGCCTTCAGTACAATATTTACTTGTTCTGTTCAACTAAAGACCCTGCAGCACTTTAAAGTAAAAGCGTCTTACATCCTCCTTTTAATCTTTGGAGCTTCCTGATCATAACTGAGCAGCGAAGTTCTGGAAAACTCCTCTACATGTAGATGTCAGTTCCATGAGAACGTTAGAGGAGCAGGAGTAGGCCATCGGGCCCCTTGAGCCTGCTCGGCCATTCAGTAAAAGATCATGACTGATCTTTTCATGGACTCAACTCCACTTACCCGCCTGCCCACATAAACCTTAATTCCTTTACTGTTCAAAAATCTATCTGTGCCTTAAAAACGTTCAACGAGGTAGACTCAAGTGCTTCACTGGGCGTGGAATTCCACGGATTCACAACCCTTTGGGTGTGGAAGTTCCTCCTCGACTCAGTCCTAAATCTGCTCCCCCTTATTTCGAGGCTATGCCCCCTCGTTCTAGTTTCACCCGCCAGTGGAAACAACCTCCCTGCTTCTGTCTTATCTATTCCTTGCCCCTTTACGGAAGTACAGTTGTGTGTACAAATTTGCCGTTTAGATGGATCCAGACAATTTCAGGTATCAACGTTATGTAGCCATGCCCGTGCAAGGCAGAGGTCATATCCTAAAGCTAAACATTAACCACGGTGTTCTTTTGTAAAGAAACATCGAGTGGTTACAGCACAGAAGGAGGCCTATTGGCCCATTGAGTTCGTGCTGGCTCTTATAAGTGTAGTTAAATTGTATTATAAGAAAGTCACAATCTTAAATCACTGTTGCTATCTGAGTCTAAACGAAGTGTAAGTTTGCTAATCACAAAACCCTATCTTTGACCGCGCGTAATGGTTTCAGCAACAGTGAGGACCGAGCAGGGAGTATGCTCATGCTTATTTGTTGACCATACAATCATGCAAATTGGGTTTAATTTGTTCTGGGATCTTTCCTTTCGAAAATAACCTGTGTGTACAGTTGCCTTCAGGTTAAATTCTCCCGTCTTGGAAAGAACCTGCCCTAATTCGTGTTCTGTAACTCACAGTGCATAACTATGGTGCCCTAGATGATATTACTGACCGTCGACAGCTGCTGCAGTGAGCTCTGTTGGTTGAGCAAGACGCTGCACAATAATGGATATTTCTATCCATTAGCGCCATGCAATCAAAGTTATAGCCCTGTTATACCTTTGTTACAAGTTTATCAAAGCTGACCAAAGCAGTTCAATAATAATAAGAACAGAAAGTGCTGGGGAAATTCAGCACCCGTGTGGAGAGAGAGAAACAGAGTTAACGTTTCAAGTCCAATATTCCATATCTCCAGTATATGCAGTTTATTGGTTTTATTTTAGTGGTTAGAGTCACAGAATCATAGAGATGTACAACATGGTAAAAGACCCTTCAGTCCAACTCGTCCATGCCGACCAGATATCATAAATAAATCTAGTCCCATATGCCAGCATTTGGCCTATTTCCTTCTAAACCCTTCCTATTCATTTACCCATCCAGATGCCTTTCAAATGTTGTAATTGTACCAGCCTCCACCACTTCCGCTGGCAGTTCATTCCATACACGCACCACCCTCTGCGTGAACCCTCTGACCTTAAAACTATGCCCTCTAGTTTTGGACTCCCCTACCCTGGGGAAAAGAGTTTGACTATTCACCTTATCCATGCCCCTCATGATATTATGACTTGAATAATGTTTTCTCTTGCTTGGCCTTCACCGGGACAGTTGAAGTTCTGAGATCCACAACCTGCACCTCAGTATCTGAGGATACCTATCAACCAATTACATTCCCTTATCCAGACAGTCACCACAGCCTGTGTCTGTTTCCTCTCTGTAGGCTAACAGTGTACGGTATCTGCGGTGTCCCGCTGCAATGACGGTGATGCATTTGGGAAAATTTCTACGGAATAAAATGGATATTCCCAGCAATTTCCGAGTAAGTGTGTAGCTTTCTAAAACAAAAAAAAATGAAATCAAACCAAAACTTATTTCCTTGTCTGAAAACCTTGACTGAGATCTGTCTATTTTGATTTTAGATTGATGTTATGTACGAAGATGAACCGCTCAAAGATTACTACACACTTATGGATATAGCGTATATTTATACATGGAGACGGGTAATTCAGCTTTTTGTTATGGGTCCAGGCAATCCTACGTTCAGATGAAATTGCTTACAAATGGCTCTGCTGTGCGCATACGCGTGTATTTGGCACTGTATCCATGTTGAATATAGGCAGTAAGGAGAATAGACCATAAGACTGTAAGAAATAGGAACAGGAGTAGGCGGCGCTTCGAGCCTACTCTGCCTTTCAAAAGGATTATGGCTGATCCGACAATCCCTACGTCCATTTTCCCGCGATTTCCCCGTAAACCTTGACTCCCAACTGATCAAGAATCCGACTCAGCTTTACGTATGCACAAGGACTCTGTCCCACAGCTCTCTGCGGCAAGGAGTTCCAAAAACTCTCAACCCTCTGAGAGAAGAAATTCCTTCTCATCTCAGTCTTGAATTGGTGCCCCTTTATTCTGAGACTATGCCCTCTGGTGCTAGACTTTCCCATGAGGGGAAACATCCTTTCAACATTTACCCTGTCAAGCCCCTTAAGAATCCTATACGTTTCAATGAATTCGCCTCTCATTCTTCTAAACGGCTGACAAAATAGAGTCTAACTTCTGTGTGTGCCAAAAAAATGTTTTTGCCATTTCACATATTGATAAAACTTAAATGTGGCTGTCCACTCCCAAATATATAAATCCTTTTTAGCTCTTAGCAATGAATGCCAGGTTCTGTGCGCTCCCAGTGGCGCCTGTTCCAGGTAATCCTCAGGTGATCTGAGACACAGAGAAACAGCCAATCGGGTTTCAGCTGTTCAGCCAGGCGTGAACAAGAGGATATGGCAAGTCCTTGGTGTATAGTGCCTATTGATAGGAAATGAGTTGTTTTTGTCAGCAGTAGATTTGGGCCCGTGGCCAGATTGGGAACCCAGATACAGGGTACTTTAACAGACGCTTATAGCTGGAGTTGCAGTCGATGCCTTTAACAGGTATCCTGCCTTCATTTACTTAGTCCAAATAAAACGGGTACCTTAGTCGTGATTAATGTGGTAATCCACGTCAATCTGTTCGTTTCATTCTCTGCACTATATGGAGCCAGGTACCTCGTGCTGAGCCAATTCAAAAGGTGCATGTGCATATGTTATCTGACCTTGCCCTTTACTCTTGGAAAAAAATGCCAGACAGGCGCTCTCAAATTTTATAGAATCTGTCCCTACGAGCTATGTTAAAGTCGGAGAACATACAAATCCTTTGCAGATGTTAACTACTAATCTTGCAGATTTTTGGAAACACTCATGGGTTGAGCTAAATTTGCAATGTATATAATCCCCAACTGTTCTGTCTTTTAATGCAAATGTTTAACCTGATATTAATATGATATTTAAGCAACCACCGGAGTGTTGTGCAATCTTTTCCCACTTTGCCCATTACGTTGATTATTGAAATAGACAAATCCACATGTATCTGTCCCGACTCTGTGGCCTTCAGTTATATCAGAACTGACTCATTTCTAAGTTTTACCAGAGTGGAAAATAATAAAGTATCCAAATAATTTCAAATATAACCTCTCAATACTGGAAAGTCAAAAATACACAGGAATACGTGTGTAATACAGATAAAACTTGCATAGATGTGATCCTTTGCACTTCCTTGCCCCTTTCTCAGAAATCTTGTCCTATCCACCCATAACTCGTCAGCTCACGTAGTATCACTGTGTTTGAACATTCATGTATTATATACACATTTGATGCTCCGACAGTATTTGTGTTAATGCTTTGCTGTTTGAGTACAGAAGGTTTTAGAAGTTAAGAAGTGAAGAGATACTGGGTGTGAGAATTGGTCTTCTTAAGAAGACAGAAACATTAGCTTTTTAGGAAACCTCTGCCAAATCCCAGGGCCCATAGTGAAGGACACAACCATGTTGAAAAGAATACGAGAGAAGTTGAGAAAACTGGAAGAAGTTGGCACGCTATCTTTTAAACATTGAGATTTTTATTTGAGGGAAACTCATTGCAGTGCTTTATCAGAAGCACAAAATAATGAGGCATCCAGATAATTGTAACTAGGTGCCCCCTTGACATTTGTAAGTCACTTTTGAATGAGTGGGTGACATAACTGGTAGAGATAAGACTTCCAAAATATTGCCATCACGAGAAAGACTTGTTCTAGAGGACGTTAGTCAAATGTGTGTATTGCATTCCATGTTATTTACAATGTCTGATTGACTACAAACCGTATGGGCTTTAGCATCTCTGTTTTGCATTCCATTTGCAGAATGGTCCTTTGCCTCTGAAATACAAGGTCCAGCCTGCCTGCAAACGGTTAAAACTCAGTCACCCGAACGAGGACTTCGCTAACACCAGCATAAACTCGGAGAGTGACTCAGTGAGTGACAAAGGCAGTCCAGCCGCCGTCCCCTCCACATCTTCGTCTCTGCCAAGCCCCGGCACGCCGGCGGTCTCTCCCAACCCGCAGTACCCAGCCGTCGCCGCCTCCGTCGTGAACGGCAACACAAACTGTCACCAGATGCCTCCATCTGTCGGTAGAGGCCGCAAAGTGACTGTTAACGGCTCGGCGGCCCCGGCTTCCTGCTGAAAGCCGGATCCAAACTGAATTTTCAACCAACAAAGGAGAAGGGACTCGCCTGTATATTAAACACGGCGCGGCCACCATCACACTGGCTCCTGCGCCGTTTATTAAATGTAATATATATATATTCTGTTTAGCAATATGGTTATTGTCAGAAACATTTGTATTCCCTACGCAGATTTGTAAAGGTAAACGAATATAACACACACACAGACACCTCCAGGTTGGGGTCCCAGACGTCGCTGTTCATTTCCTCTAATTGCAAATGTCGACTATAGTGGATTCATCTTTAATGAAGGATTATTGGGCCGTAGGATACTATTGGGTCGCCACTGTGTTTACTGAGAAATCAGGCGTAGATTTTGTTTTTTCTAAAATCCTGTACATTTAACAAAGAATTGCCTTAAAACTAACCTCATTCATGGCAGTTGTTAAAAGGGGGACATTGTAGTCATGGTATTGTGGTCGATATTCTCTAAACAATCTGCTCGGAAATGTTATTTCATACCTCTGGAACAGGTGGGATTTAGAACCCGGTTTCCTGGCTCAGAGATAGGGACACTACCCTATGCCACAAGACCTCCCCCAGCCCCCAGTCTCCCAACTGGTATTGTGATAAAGTGATCTTGACTGATTTTAATCTCAGTTCAGATTGGATGGTGGTGTAGTCAATTAGAGTTGACCAGGTCCAGGAGAGACACGTGTTGGAAGATGCAAAGCTTTTTTCTGAATATTAAGAATTTTTTGTTTTATCTCACGTGTGTCTTTTGGTATCAGGCTGACAAAACAATCGGAAGCCTGAGAGCTGTTGTTCATCATTACGTAGAGAATCCTTTTCTAAAAACAAAAATGTCCTTGATAGGACTTGACGTGGTCTAAGGAACAGTTTGTATTTTTGGGGAAACACATTCAGTACCCGCTACAAACTAGTGCTGTGTTTCACTCATTTGGGTTTCAACATCATTTATGGGGTAATAAATTAATGTCTGCGGTCAAGGGTTGCGAAACCAACAGTTTCTGATCTCAATTAACACAGGAAGAAAAGGCGGATCCCTTATTCAGGCCAGAGAAATTGATCACCTTGAGTCTTCTTCACTACACCCAGTGGGAATCAGTATCCCTGAAAATAAGAGTTGGGTGGAATCTTTCCAATCTCAGGGATACTTTTAACCATCATCCAACTGCCTTCGGAAACGCTATTCATTGTGGCTTTCCTAGGTATTGCTACATTTCCAGCTAGACCTTCTGGAATCTCTTCAACAGCTATGGTTAGAATGACAAAGGGGACGGTTCAGAGACGGAGAAGCTATTTTATGTGAATGGTTTGACTTTGTGTGGAAAACACACGAAATGCAATTGAGAGTAACTGGATTGGAACCTATTGCTGCAAGTTCTCAGCTACAATGGTTAGAATGATGCCAAGGTTGTATATAGTCAATTGTTTTAATTATTTTGTTCCTGATTCTTTGCGCTCCATCATTTTCTTCGTAGAAGATGTGATGTTTTTAAACACTGACAACGATAATCAAATAATCACTGCAAAAGAATTAAGGTAGTTCCAAAACAAACTGGTTTTGCTGCTTCATACAAATTGCGATTTTTCCTCTCTATTTAATCCATTAACTGGAGTCTACTGTACAATCTAGCATTTTCTTAACGTGGCGTGTATGTTATTGGGAGAGAAAAAAGTGTGAGACTGAATGAAACACGGACCTTAGCAACTAAATGGTATCTCTGTCCTACTAACGATTTGCTACGGCACAACAGCACAAAGGAAATGAGATCAGAATTAATAATGTTGCATCAATTTTATTTTATGTTTTGATAAACCTATTAAACCATTCTAGAAGCCTATTTACTTTAATTATAAACATCTTCCAGTGTTTAAAAATAACCTTTCGATTGTAGACTGGAGAATGGTATGCAGCTATTCCGTTAAAATATTGACAATATCCATTTATTTTCTAAAGCAAAAAAAAACATATTGAATAAAGTTTTGAAAGGAATGGACACGGGTAACACAATATTGCCTTATTAAGCGATTGTAAACGATTGTGCGCCGATTGGTCTTGACTTGTTTTTGAGGGGACAGACCATAATTCTTTCTTTTAAAAAAAAGATGTGGAGAATGCACAGCGCCCGGTCAGCAGCTGAAAGAGAAAGGTAGGTTTCTGGTTTCAATGGGGCTGAATAACTCCAATATATTTTTCCGTCGCTTTCTAACGTGTTTAGATTTCCAGCATTTGTGTTCCGCCTTTTCGGCTGAAACCCTAGTAAGTGCTTCAGTTTCAGCCGTGGAAAGGTGAATATCTAATTGGCGACCAGGCGCTTCGGGAGATCCCGAGATCGTGAAGGCGCTATAGGAATGCAACTGCTTTAATTTCATAAGGATTTAATATAGACCCAGTTACGGTCTCCGTATATGCTCAATGTGTTTCTCATGGGTTCATCCGCGAAACGTTTATATATTTGCTCCGTCTATATAGTTAAAAGTCTATGTAGTTACTGAACCCAGTGCTGCCAAAATCTCTCCACTCTTTCGCCATTGCCACAACATCCGGAGCACTCTAGCCTCTTTCGCACACAACTCGATGGAAATTCAGTTCTGAATATTGGGTCGTTCATGCCGTTGATCTGGAACGGTTTTGTTTTACACGGGGTGGAGCAGTCCGTCCCCCAGCTGTGGTTTGTTCTCGGGAGGGAGTCACCTGGGGAAACATATACAGAAGGGCACCAGACAAAATAAAACTGTGGATACTGGAAATCTGAAACAAAAACAGAAATTGTTGGAAAAGCTCAGCTGGTCTGGCAGTATCTGTGGAGAGAAAAATCAGAATTAACGTTTCGGGTCCAGTGACCTGGTCCAGTCCTGAGGAAGGGTCACCGGACCCGAAATGTTAGCTCTGATTTTTCTCTCCGCAGATGCTGCCAGACCTGCTGTGCTTTTCCAGCAATTTCTGTTTTTGTTTTTGTTGGTAGACGGACACCACAGGAGGTGCTCAGGGCTGAGCTGGAAATGCCTTAAAAAGGCAAACGGGGGAGGGAGAGGGATACGGTATTGATCCCAGAATCTTGTGTGAATATGAAGCCACCAAATACATTGGAGCTACCAGCTGTGTTTGGAGCTGATTTATATAACTGGGGTGCCAATAGCAATTGCTTATTTGTATGTTTTTTTAGGGGATAATTGTCACTTCCTGACCAGAATGTGGTGGAGACAGGTTTAGCCGAGGTATTCAAGAGGGAATTGGACTATAATCTGTAAAGAAAAGGAGTGTGCAGGTTTAGAGGGGAGAGGTGGGGGAGATGGTAGCACCAGGTGAACTGCTTATTCGGAGAGTCGGTCTGGGCATGAACGGTGCCGCTCCCTCCCCCTCCCGGTGCTGTGATTCTCTGTTGATGAAAATCCTCACTGATGCCCAGATCCCTTCTGCTCATCGTCTTGAAACTTAACCAATTTGAGTCAGCGCTCACGGGCTGAAGCTACCACCGACCCCCAAGCCGCCGCCTCCCTCTCTCTCTCTCTCTCCCAGAGAAACAGGGGCTTTGTGTTGGGTTAAAGACTAGCAGCGCCGGTATTGTGCTCAGAGCCAGGATATGGCGAGGGGAACGGCGGGGAAGATGGGGGGTGGTGAGGGGTGGGGGCGAGCTGCTGGGCGAGGAAAGCGACTGGGCTGAGATTTTAAACCTGCTCCGACCAAAATGCAACAAAATCAATGAACAAGAGCAGTTAACAGACCTACCCATCAAGCTCCGCGCATCGTACACCTTTTAGGAGGGTCGCTATGGTAACCCTCGATGCTGGGTCATCTCCACCAACCCCACACCCACCCCCCCAACTTCCCCTCCCCCGCCAATCCCAAAGTGTTCATTTAAAATCTTCAATTGAAAAACAAATTACAACAGCCACAATCGCGGAAATCTTCCCGCATTCAAACCTACAGAAGGCGGCTAATGTTCTCCTACAGAGACAGGACTGTACACAGGTTCAACATCCCCCAACTGGTTTCATTATTGTGGCTCTTCCAGGCGCTGCTAACAACAGAAAATATTTCACATTTCTCGTGAAAAACGCCGCGGGCATTCCAAACATCTTTTTCTCTCTCCCTCAGGACATAGACAGAAACCGCAAGAATTGGATGTGAATCGTGGCCAGAGGCCAGTCGGATATTATCAATTACACATGACCCATAAGAGGAAGAAAACCTGGCAAAATTGGAAGCTGGAAATTTTAAATGGGATTAGATTTAAACACACGCGTTGGATAGACAGTGTTATCTATTGTCACGAGTCAGCATCTCAGCCACTTCCCGCCGCAGACAGACTGAGATCTACCAAATAGACCCGTCTCTGAAAGTGCAGGACTCAAAGTCCCCAAGGTGCCTGTCAGCATGTGGGTGAAAGGTGATCATTTGGGTAGATTAGTTAGTTACTGTTAGGGATGAGGTGGTATCTTTCAGGATGGTCAGTCGTGGAAGGGGCGGTATTAATGGCTCTAGCCCTGTCTAGCTGCTTCACTGTTGTTGGCCTGACCCAGGATTTAAACCATAAATCTGCATGTGGTTTTCCACTGCTCGATCCGAAGTAAATCTTTCGATTTTATTTGTCCAGTTCTCATCGAAGTGTTTACAGTCGAATTATCAATAGTAGGAAAAGGGTGAAGGCGGAATTTCTGATCCGCACGATTACAACGGATTGCAGACCATTTTTGAACTAGAATTCGAATTGGGTTGGTCTGCAGAGGCGGTATTAAACCATTAAATATGGTCACATTTCGAGAACAAAATGAGAGAATGAGGAACGAAACTTGGGAACTTTTGTCGGTTGCTTCCTCCCTCCAACAATTCGTTCTTCTGGGTAAAGATTGTGGAATTAATTGCCACTATGCTGGGAATTACAAACTTAAGGCACACTTGTAGTTCTGGTTAATTACTCTATAGATTCTTTTTGTTTATTCGTTCATGGGATGTGGGCGTCGCTGTCTGGGTCAGTATTTGTTCCCCATCCCTAATTGCCGCTTGAAGTGAATGGCTTGTTAGGGCCATTTAAAACGGCAGTTAAGAGTCATCTGACATGTAGGTCAGACCAGATAATGATGGCAGATTTCCGTCAAAATGTTCATCAAGATAATGTTTATTTCAAACAGCGGTTCTGGGACAGATCTATCAACAATGGGGAGATGTCAGAGATTTATGGTCAAACAGATTGAGGGGTGTTGCAGGCTCCTATTTAAATTTATGGAGATTTTTCCCACTTTGATGTACATTCGAAATGGTGACATTTTAAACAAATATGTGCGAGATTCAATTCAAGTTAGGCTGGGCAAATGTAGATATACAGGAGTTTAACCTCATGTAAATATCTCTCCCACGTACTATTGCTTTTATTTTGCCCAGTTGAACGAGAAACTCGCTGCGGTCGGTCTAGCATCCGTTGGTTGCGGAGATTGTTCTAGAACGGGTACACAAAGCAATCAACCCAAATTGTGCACAAACTGAAGAAAATGAACAATTCCCCAAATGCCCTTATTCCAGGCACCGCGCTTCTTCACTTCCATTTGCCGGGTCATCAATAAGCCAATCCGTTTACAAGATAGAGAATAAATAACTCTTACACACCACCATTTAAAACAAAAAAAAACCCTTTACCAAACGAATAGGAAAAGGTTTGTTAGTTTCATTCTGGCTGGCATATAAACACAAACAATCAACTGAGCACATTACATCTCCAGTTACCATGAATTTGCATACATCAGATGAAAGGCAATTTCCCCGGACATTTCAGAAAAGTGCATTTTTCTTAGTGTTGAACTTTTCCAAAAACATTACAAGATTTCCATCGTTTTCTCAAAAACAAATCGCAAAGCTTGTTTTTTTTTTAGCAATTATTCATGTTTCTAACAAATAATTGCTCGGACCCCAGGAAGCATCAGAGGACGAGGAGTGTGATGAGTAACAACAACACCGCGTCACCAGCTGGAACTATTACCCAGTGGGCGGCCGATTATATCGGCTGTGCCCAACAGTTCTATTGAGAGGTGCGGAGATTGCATTATATCTCGTCAGTAATTGTCACTGTGGGTACGGGGAGTCGGGCTAGATTACCTGCCCAAATATTTATGTTAGAAACATTAATACATCAGCTCAGCAAACCTCCTAGAATCGCAGACACCACAGCACAGAATGAGGCCATTCGGCCCGTCGTACTCCCTGCTGTTTTATTTTGAAAGAGCTCTTGCCCTTACTCCCACACCCGTGCTTCTATTTTTGTCTGTAACCCTTCAAGTCCCTTATTCTCAAGTACGCTGTCCAATTCCCTGTTTCAATTGTTCACGGATTCCCGCCACGTTTCCCGATCTTTTAAACAGTAACAACGTAATTCTGATAATATGAGAAACAAATCTAGAAAATGCTGGACTTAGGCAAGTGCGTGAATCTATGTTTGGTGAAAGGAAAGATGGATGGCAACGCCGTTGCATAGAGGCTTTTAACTGTGAATAGTTCCACAAGGAAAATGACAAAGTATGTTCCTGGCCTAAAAATGTTTGGCCCTTTGCCAAGGAGCCTGTTTGATACTCGCAGCCTCAGTGTGTATGTCTATTGGCCACCGTTATGAAGGTGAAGCAATGGGATTGGTTTTGTGCCTAGCTGCCCGATATAATTTTTAATAGTTAATGAGCAGGTAGCAAAATCTCCTTTTTATCCCCTTATCACAGGCCTTCCCTTTTGAGCTATCCTTTCTCTCACCTCCTCCATACTTGGTGAAACATTTACGTTTTTAAATTCCTACTTCTGGTTGGAAGTTTGAAATCCTAACTCTCTCTCCCTCTATATGCTGCATGACCTGCTGAGCTTTTCTTTCATTTCCTGCTTTTCTTTCAGACTTCCAGCTTTTTATTTGAACAAAAGCTTTGCATTACCTTTTAAATCTTCCCTTGGGAATCTGCTGATG